GCAAAGGCAGATTTGAAGAGACGGCTTCTCCTACAGGGATGAAGAACGAGATCCGTTAACAGATTGCTTTTTCCGTCCGACAGAAAGCGAACGAGGGAATAATTTTCATGCGAGAGTGACGACGGAGAAAAAGAGGGCTGGAAGTGCGGGAAACGCAAACGTGGTCTCGGAACCACGGAGGACCTTCCACGAGGAGAGTGAGCTTAAAGGAGATAGCCGGTAAAGATCCTGATGTAGGACAGCCGAGTGAAACATCACCCGACGGCCGCGGCCGTTATCCGCGTCCACCATCTCTCGCACTCGCGACAATCTTTTCGCACTTCGCGAGAGGACCCATTTCTCAACCTATGGAAATGCGATTGTGCGGCACGTCGCAAATCGCCGCGATATCAGAGAGACGAATCGAATCGATTGCTCCTTTTTTGTATAATCGCCACAAAAACGATTCAATCGCTCCGCGCGAGTTCGCCTTTACAGGTTTATTCAGAGCAAGAAGAGTCGAAAGCGAATTTAGCAACAGCTATCAAATGTACTAATCGAACATCGTCGAAAATAGGATTAATGAGATTTTAATGATCTATTTGGTCTTCTTACCGAATTATAAAATGTCGTATTGCGAGTGCAGTAATTTTGGCCAAATGACAACAAGACGTCGAAAATCTCTAACAACGAGACGAAGGTATTACTGAGTATTATTTGAATAGAATATTCTTTGACGGTTGTACTTTTCTAAATATATTAAGGAATTATCATTTACTTTTGAGCGGTTTATCCATATAGTTCTTTAAATCATATTCTAATGACTTGCCTTGAATATCTCATCCAGCCACAAATATTAAGAATTAAGAGTTCACGCAGATAAGGGACATCTTAGAAGATTTAAAGAATTACTTCTTGCGTGCATTCTGATTTTCCATCACACATATTCAGAAAAAGATATTTCGTCTCGACAGCTGAGACGAAATATTTCACTCTCGCGTCATATATCATGCAGCGCAAAGATTACAATATAAGAGTGATTCATAGTGAGCTTTTATCATTCGTCATTCTTGCTACCGTCATATTTTTTAGTATGCTATATTCATAAAGTCACTTGTAACATTACGCATTTGCGAACTACTAAAATTCGCGTTCACGAGACGTTAGCTCGTATTATAGCACTACTAGATGCTACCAACCGCAACAGCTCAGGTAATTCTGTCAAGAACTTTGAGGTCTATTTATGGTTACGAAAGATTCCAGCTTAACCCTTATAAGATTGTCATGATATTTCTAATATTCTAGTGCTGTCTTTAAGAATGTTTAACACTTTAAGGAGATTAGCTGTAGGATTATCCGTTCCAAACACGATACTTTATCCGTTTTCGGATAAGGAGGATGCAAGAACTTCGTAGGTCAAGGAAATGAAATTTTACAACGCTGGAAAACTATGACACTAGAGCAAAACAAGATTTAGAGTATTAGGAAGATTAGAATACGTAGTTACGTAGTTTGAAATTGATATGTTATATTAAGGATTAGATGTATAGTCTCTGCAAAAAGTAACTGAAAATGGAAATTTATACTTTCCATATGAAAGTTATATGCATATATGAAACATTCAATATTTATATCTAACAATACAATCTTATAGTTTAAATAAAAAATTTTCATTTTGTCTTAATTATTTTTCTAAAACATGTCTATTTATCGCCGTTAAGCAAAAAGGTTCTCTCTCCATACTCCAACTCAACATACTCTTGTGATATTACACAATTATTGTTGGTGCTAATATGGCATTTGGAAGTTCTATATTTTGCACACAACGTTCCAAGAATAAAAAATCTTCTTAAAATAATTTTGGAATATCTCTCTCTCGGTATAAATCACACAAGACGACTAAAATTAAAAATCCTTTGAAGACTATATAGTGAGACATATTTGATTAAATGCGATTTAAACAATTTACATCTTTATAACAATTTTAGTTGTAAATTTGAAGACTATATCACGAGACATCTTTTCAATTGTAAATTTTCTCTTAGGCATGTAATTATTGATGATGGTCAAAAATAGTGACCGAAACGTCTAAATATCATATTTTATTGTACTTTAATAAACTGACTTTCTCAAAATTTACCTAGCGTGGTGACTGTATACTCTCTTTTAATTGTGTTTATGTCTACTTTTTATTCAAATAATTTTTTATCCAAATCGCTGTCAAATTTTTTATATTACTTTCAAATACACACAACCTAACATAAGAAATCTGTAACTTTTTCATTTTGCTAAAAAATACATGTAATGTCCTCAATCGAAAAAATGTACATTGAATTGATTGAATAGTTCGGTTCGTTTTCTTATTTTAATATAAAAGTTCAAATATAAAAATCGTATATAGGAAAATGAATTTCTTTTCTGCTATAAGATTTAAATAGTGAAAAAGACCGTTGACTTAGATGAATTAAGATTTATGGACATCACCGACAAAAAGATTCTAAGAGAGAAAGAAAAATTTCCCGCAGTGGGCACGCAGTGCAAAGGGTTCTGTTCGAACCTGTTATTTTCGTTTTGGCCGCACAACACGACAATGCTCTTAAATTCACCGCCTCGGACTGTGGAGACAACGCCGTTATACTTGGAAACTTTCACAAAAAAAAAAAAAAGAAGAAGAACTGGGACGTGCCGTTAGAATTAGGCCGGTCATTGTCAGGTTTCATAGAAAAACCCGCGAATCGAGTCAGAACGTTGCTTTTAGCCCGACATTTGCAATCTCATCGGCAGAAAGTCCGAATGTTACTGACTGCGACATTAAAGAGGAAGAATTGATTATTTCCGATTTGGACGGCACAATAAATTTCGTATACATGTAAAAATTTAAGGATCACGACGTTACTTTGGTTTTAGTAAATCTGTGTTTAAATTGTTATTACTATATTAATCACTAGTTAAGTTCTTTGATTTAAAGAAATCAGGAATCGAATTTCATTATTCACAGAATTTATTATCAGTCCTGATAATAAATTCAGTGAAATAAATTTTAACAAGTAAACAATCCAATAATTTTGTGGCAGTAAATTGTGTGTCTAAATAAAACAAATCGACTTCATGTTTATCAAAGAACCTGTCGTGAACAGGTATAGCGATAATAACAGCTTGTATATGAGATTAGTGATTAGTGTGTCACACGGTACTAAATTTCAACGATTCAGTAGGAACTTTAAATTGGGTTCGAAAACTTGATTCCACATTTTTTCTACGAGTCTATGTAGTCACCCGAGTGACATACGCGCAGATGTGTTCCGTATGATCGAGAGCTTTTATGTTTTACGATCGCACGATTTTATTTCCTTTTTTGCGGCGTGGGATCACTTTCGCGTTTCACTGCATTGTACGAGCTCGAAGCGACAGACTGCGCGTGACAGGCGCCACGGCATAAACATCGATCTGCGAATATTACCGTGAAGCATTATTCGCGAAATGACTCTCGCGGTGCTCGCAGCTATTCGCTAGGTCAACCAGAAACTTCAACCATTTGCTATCAAACCGCCATGCCGAGCGACGGCGGTTAACTTTCGCATTTCTCACGGTAATTGAGGATCATTTTTTCTCCCCATGGAAAATAAAAATAAATCGGCATAAATTCATTTGATGAGCGATAGAAACCGATAGCGATAGATACTGGGATAGTTTTGTTAGGAAAGAAATAATGGTCTCTAAATTTATGGTTAGAATGATTTGTGACTTGCACAATTCTTTTACAAGTTTCAGTGCTTCACCATTAGTCATCGAACATATTATTTACAAACATAAATGAAAACAATATCACGCGATTGTGAAAATCTATTTAACAAAAATATTACAATAATTACAATAATTTTTCCTATAGAAAAGTCTTCCTTACTCCAAACAAAATATCGAGAGAAAAGTACTATATATTTTTTACATAATTATGTTAAAGTTCATAAAACGCTCTTTTAAAGTATAAAAATTTTAAATTCTTTAACATAAAAAGTAAAAATCTTTTAAACAACTTTTAATGATGTATTAGCCCGAAAAAAATTAGACATTATTAAAGCGGAAACTTTTCAATGTTGCATTAGATACAATGGAACGACCGTTCAAAGGATAATTATCTCTTTTCCAGCACATTTCTATTGTTCTATCGAGTTATCATAAGTTATTATCAATGTCGATAATGCATTCAAAGTTTCGCCTTTGTGTCTTATCTACTGTCCACATTTCATCATCCATTAGAGCAACGACCATGTTTCATAATACTTTACATGGTTATTGACAATGAGACAAACATGTCAAAGAATCTTAACAAATAAAACTTCACCTATATTGTACCGATGGATCCAAAATTGTATCGATTTCCGCGAAAGAATGATGTAAACAATTTTTTCATAAAAAAAAGTTGAAATCATAATACTTGTAAATTCATTCATTTTTTACGTATCAATCTTACTTTAATGTATTTATGTTCTAAGCCCTGTTACACCAAAGTTACTTTGCAAAATTTAAATTTGTCAATATCTGTGTATATTTTTCTTCCTAAATAAATAAAGACAGATTTATTATATTTTATTATATTTTTACAGATCTCGCGTATGAACACAAAATTACGTAATAATGGCTTAAATTTAGTCGAAAAGTCCGAACGTCTTGTTAAAAAATGTAAGAATTTAAATACATAAATTACTTTATTAAATTATAGCGCAGGATTTTTATTCTCACTCGCCCATATTGAGTATTTATTTAAAATTATGTGAAGTAATATTCCAAAAATCTCTAATTCTTAAAAAAAACACGATAAATATATTTATGAGCTAGGAGACAGAAAAAAAATAGCCGTACCATTAGTAACGCTTAAAAATATCGCAAACGTCCAACAAATGCTATCTAATCTCTCGAATGCTTCTCAAACATTTCTTGGACTCTTGTTTTTTTTTTTTTTCAGATTTCGTTCCACTATTGTGTTCGGTTCGTCGAATTTATGAGTCATAGAGAAAACTCACCACTCAGAAATATCGACCACGGGAGATGTCCCCGAATCCGGTAGTCTCGAGTTTTGATGAGCGCGTCGGTCTCGGGGAACGATGATCCTCCGTCGTTATACACACCCGTGTCGTTAAGAACTTCCTATCATCCGCCGCCCTGGCGATCACACACTTCCGCCACTGTCACTCACTCACTTTACGAGCGCCTCGATTACGCCCTTCTATAACTGGAGCCGATAACTCTTTAGCGAGTCGCGCGCGGTGATAGACAACCACTCGCGTCTCTCGATCTGTTTATCTGCGCGTCACTTTCGTCTCCCTGCTTGACGTCCGTCGCCACGACGCAGTAAAGTTGCGCTCCGATTTGCGCGCAACTTCAGATCAAACAGATACCACACTATCCACTGTAATTACGATCGATAGGTTCCATCGAATCGATGATTCGCGGAAGAAAAATACCAACTTGTATCTCACAAAAAAACGGAGAGGGATACGTCCGTCGGATTGGAGCCGAGAGATTTTGTCGGAAGGACAACCTCCGTCGTTCTTCAGATCAAGCGATTACTTCGAAAACTCCGTTATCACTATCTCGCCGTTTCTCGTCTGAATTGGACGATCTCGAAGCTTCAATCGACACTCTCTCTCTCTCTCTCTCTCTCTTTCTCTCAATTTCCTCTCCCTCTCTTTCTCTCAGCGAGAAAACGCACTCCACACGATACCCCGAACAGGCCAACCGCGCGTCACGGCACCCGCCTGTGAACTGAATGCCGCCGCGACCTGAAGCCGGGACCCGACTGGTTCCTCGGCCTAGGGAGTCCCCACCGCTTTTCTCCTACTGCTCTCTCTCCCACCATTCTCTCTCTCTCTTTCTCCCTCTATCCCGTCGCTCTCTCCTACCCCCTCTCGAGAACACCCACGTTCGTTGTCGCGCGCGCGACCCTACGCGCGCACCATCCCCCATGGATCTCTATCCTTCGCCCTCCCCGTTCTCGCTCCTGCTCTCTCTCTCACTCTCTCTCTCTCTCGATCCTGGGATTTCTGTATCTCTTTCTCCTTCTCCCTTCATCCATCTCTGCCTCCTTCTTCGGGAACTGTTCCTCTCCTCTCTCTCTCTCTCTCTCTTTCGCTACCATCCTGTCGCTCTCGATTTGCGCCCTCTTTCTCCCTTTCTCGCCCAACTCTCGGTCGTCCTCGTTCCGCTCGCATTCCAACGGTGGTCGGTTCCTCTCTCTGCCTATTCCTTCCCGCGCGCCACTATGCCATGTTCCGACTGCCTAACACCGACCCTTCACGTACGAACGACCGAACGACTACCCCGTTCTCTTCAACCGGCAGCGCACACGATCAACCTCATACTTCTATCTTTCTCTCTCGTTCCCGTTCAAGAAACCGCGCTCTGGGGGTTGCACCTTTTGCCAAGGACTTTCCAGATTTCTCCCATCTCCCACCCCCACGGCCCACCCCCCATCCCTCCGTCAGCGTCCTGACCAGCCGTTCCTTTCAGAAATATTTCGACGTCCGCGCGCATGTACATCCTTGCACCTGACTCCTTGGAGTTCTCCACGGCCGAAGAAGCGCGCCGGCCAATCCCAGGCACATGTTCGACACTTCCACTCATGCTATTCTTCTCGGATCAAACTGGGGTGAGACGAGCGAGATGGGAGATCTCTTTATCATACTCGCGAGCGAGCGGGCTGCACGAGGAAAAGAGTGTTACTCCTTTTTTTATTCTTTGACCGTTGGATTTCAGCGTGCAGCGAGGATAAAATCGAAAAAGAAACTTCAATCGAATGAAGCTAAGCGCAAGTCATTTTCGCAGTTCATTTCGATGCAAGATGAAAAATTGATAGTTTATTTAAGTGTCACTGTTATCTGCAATAATGAATGACGAGCATTTCTAACATAGACTGAAGTTACATATTTAAAAGATTCCTAATAAGATTATCATGATTAATAAAGATACAATTTGAAGCGAATTTGCTCTCTTTCTTAAATAATTATTTTATTAAAATAGAAATAGTTTTGTGACTCTCTCCAAAAATAAATCAAATGTAAATTAATTGCCTATATAATAAGAACTTTCTCGGTTGTTAGTGTCCAAATAATGGAGGAAGGTCATCGATATTTGTGACATATTACCTACGTTATTTTCAGACAATATTTTTTAAACGAAAGCTAAGAATAAAACTTTCAAACTATATAAACTAGAAAGTGTCTCGTATCAGATAATATAGAAGCTTTTTGCAATTTTTCAATAATTAATTGTTTTGTAAAATAAACAAAAATGAGCGTCTGACAAAATGGATTCCAAAACTAATACGGTAGACATTAATGTCATATATTCCTATTCTTTTTCTTTCATAGCAATTATTTATACAAAATATTTATAAGCGAATGTACATAAGAATCTTTTCTATAACATAAAACGTTTTTCGTTCATTTATATGCATACTTTATACTGTTCTGCCAGATGCAAACACGCGACAGTTTCGTTCTCTTTAAGGGTTCTTTTCTATAAATATACGATTGTCTTTTCAGCTCCAAGAGCTATTTGATATACACTACACTATAAAGATTAAGTTAGCTTACGGTCTATCTTACAGACAGGTGTGTCGGTTTACGCTGTGTGTGTATGTGTGTGTGTGTGTGTGTGTGTGTGTGTGTGTGTGTGTGTGTGTGTGTGTGTGAACCTCGATTTTATATTTAAAAAAATCGTGTTATAAAAAAATAAGGAAGAAAAGCATATAAATAAACTGATTTAGGAAATTACTAACATTTAAAACAATATAGTATTATTAATAATATAGCTATTATTATTTAAACTATATATTTTTTAACTATATATATTTTATTATTTAAACTATGCAATTTGCAAAACAAAATCGTAAAAATTTTATTTTCGCATTTATAGAATTCGTTTTTAGCTGATTTTATACAGAAAAAAGCCACAAATATCTAACTTTAAAGAGTGAAATCACTCTCACTCTTAAAAATTGATAATTAAGCTACACTTTTTCAATACTGGCTCAATTGTCACTCTTCGTCATTCCTTAGAATTAGATTCCACTCCAAAGATCAGAGAGTATAAATTATGAGTTTTTACTTCTTTAATTACCTAAAACGGATCATGTTTTTATCAGTATTAATAAAGTACAATAGTTAGGGAAATGAGGGAGTATCTCTTTAAGAGACCTATATGTAATTTTCTTTGTATTTGTGAGGTTATAAGATATAATTCGCAAAAACAATTGGAATCTATTTATTTATCAACATAGATAACTGCAAACATTTCGACTGTGAATCTGAGTCCTCTTCACGGAATCCTCTTACGAAAATCAAATAAAATCTATAATGAAAATACAAGAGAGCACCGAATAACTATTTCATTATTTTTTAGTATTATATACGTTTGCTAAAATAATTAATACCTATTTTGCTAGTTAAAATTTATTGTATATACTCGTATTGTCAGCAAAAAAAGATATTATTTGAGGCGATAACTGTTATTCCAAAATAACAATTACAATCCTGATATAACCGCGAGAGAAATTTCCACATCAGCGAAAATTGATTTACGCTCGATATATTGAAATTTCAACACACAACTAGATTAATTTGCGAGCCTGCTTATAAATTCCTTTCATTACGATGAAAACTGTAGTCGCCTGGGATTACTGCATATTTGCAGAATGAATTTTGGTACGATCGCGTAATTGTATATCACCACTATTTGCAAGACACTTTTCATAACTCTCTCATTCGACAAATGGCGTCGACGCAAGTGACATTTCCATTTCCACTGCCAGCAACGCGCAACGAATTCACGCGCCACACGAGGTTACGCCAATTTCCACCATGGCGCCCGCATCACGCCGGCCACAATTAACCGGCAATTAATTGTGCATGTAGATCCCCTTACTTTGAGGTACTGCGCGTCTCTTAAGAGTGAGTGTCGTACCAGCAGAAGTACCGCGAAGTAGACGTCATTAGTCACAGTCATCGACGAGTGCTATCTCATGCCTTAAGTGTGTATCACATATTCTAAGGGACCTAACATATCTATTTATCTATATACCTATATATAATTTACATGATTGCCTCAGTGATGACATCAGTGAAATTGAAATATCTCGCCTTGTATCGTTTTAATAAATAGATTATGTCGCCACACAGCTAATAAAGATACGTAGTTACGCTTTAAATACACGTCTCGTTTTTGTACGTACATTCTTTTGAAGTTTCTCTCTAGCGATCATATATAAATATAGATTTAAAACTTCACTGATACATTCAAAATTTTCGTAAATTTACGTATAAAGTTATTTATTGTAAAATGGATTATTATAAAATGGAATAATATTCGTTACAAAAATTTTATTTCGTTAATGTTTATTGTGTTTGAAAAAATAGACTTTATCACTTTTAAAATAAATAACTCGTATCAGTACTGTTAACGAGATATAAAGTATCGTGCAATGCAGGTAGGTATCATAACATTCCGTTTGCAGGCAATATTTCATTGTAAACGGTAATTAAAATGATTCCACATCGATTCGACGACAGCCGTCTCTCTATTATTTATGCCTTTCCTTCCTTCTTTAATATCAGCCTCTTTACGCACTCTAGGATACTATCCATATCGGGAGGATCTCCTTCTGAGCCCATCAAATTTCGCGGTGCCGTAAGCAAAAAAAGAAGCACGTAGAATTTAATTCTTGCCCCTTGGCTTGAACGTAGTCGCTCTTGAAAATTGGATTTTTTTAATGAAACCTCATTCGCCTGGAAGCAGCAGCTGAAGATTAAGTTTCCTGGTAGACAATATGAGATACTTGCCTTTAGCGGCTCTTAGAAAAACGTATCGCAATAAGGCATCATACGCGAAAAATCATGCTGCTATTATTTCGACACTCATAAATTTAGAACACGAAATCAATAACGGTGTTTATGAATAAATTCTATTTCATCATAATATTTGATATATTCAAAATTTTACGACGATACTAATTTCATTATTGCGATTATTAATTCTACAACATCGCGAATTTATAATCTAATTTTGTTAACAAAGCTGTCACATTATATTATATGCCACGGCAAGAAAGCCGCATTGCCACACATGTAATTCCTTTTAGCCGAAATAATTTTAGTATTAACTGTCACTATCGAATATACGTCAGAGTGTTATGCGTAGTACAGATTATCTTAAAGTTATAATTTTTAAACACACATTTTTATAAAGCAAATATCCGTAATTATATACAAATACGATGTTTTGACGATTTGTTACGAATATTTTAAATACTGAAAGAAGTGATAAATGCACAACTATGAATAGATATGGAATATATATTTATGTTAATTGATATAAAATTAACATTTCTATAAATATTGGTATACATATTTGAATTCTTATTATTAATTAATCAGACTATTGATGTGTTATTTTGTTTTATAAGAAAAACTAAACTTTCATAAGTTTTTATAGTTGCGTTTCTAGTCAATCTCTGAGAGAAGATAGAATTGCAATACTTTAAATAAATAATTCAGTTTCACTAAAGCGATGATTCTACATCAAGTTATAACAAGTTCGTTTGATTTATTTAATTGGTAATAATGTATGAAATGATTATGGACGCAAGATTTTACGTCTTCATATAATCGCCACAATAGATCATCAATCTGCTGAATCATCAACGATATTGGAGATGACCTTGAGTCCTACGCAGCTTAAAATCACTACTGATCGGTCGACCGTAAAACTTCCGCTTGTAACGATTCTCTGCTTTCGCTTTTACGATGCGACAATACCGGATTATCGAGACGCTCTTGGACGCAGTAAAATCCGGTAATAATTGTAATTTACATCTGTTCCATAACTTGTGATTTATGGAACTTAAAATTTTCATAAGCCGCAAGTAAGTATTGGCGCAAATACTTGGAGACCGACTGTCGCTCTCGCGTGTACTTTAAACTTGGCAATGCAAAACGAACATGTGTTTGGTGGACATATGTACGTTTCGTAAACCCTGATGTTTCTCCTCTTAAACCACGATTATATTCATTGTAAAAATAACAATTACAGTGTTTTATATTCAAAGATATTTTTATTCGAATTCAAGAAACAGAAAAATAAATGAGTTCAATATTATAACTTAACATTTTAATGCATCATAATGAAATATGGATAATAAAATATTTACTGTAATTTCTAAAATTATATTGCATATTCATACGTCGATAAAAACAACATTTAAATTTGTGCTTTTTATCTTGTCACTGTAAACAAATAAATATTATTGCAAAAATTATTTATCGATATTACCTCTGAACTAAAATTTCACTTTATAATTGGTAACGTAACATTTTATAGTCGCAAATAAAATCCTCATTTTGCTCATCTGCATTAATTTACAAGTATCCTCCATATAGCCTGCATAGATATATGCAACATGTCGTGAGCACTCTATCAATTCATTACGTTACATCCCGGAACAAATGAATTTCGCAAATCCCGAGAGAGCTGTCATACTGCCATCGATCATATTTGCGCACTAACCAGCATGCCTAGTTTCGAATAAAAAAACT